AGGAATGGGAAAGGCCCTGTATTGCTAAGATAATGACCCCGAACCAGGAAGATGTCCCGCGAGGGGGTCCTTCTGTATGCTGCAAATATGTGTTGCTTTTATTTGCTGATGAATAAAGCTGTTCTGACCAATGGCCAAGCAGAACAAAGCCAGGCGGGAAATCCAAACAAAGAGATGGAGAGAAAGAAGGTGAGTCACAGAGACGCCATGTAGCAGCCAAAGGGGTAAGATGCCAGAAAATTACTGGTAAGCCACAGCCACATGGTGATACACAGACAAATAGAAATGAATTAATTTATTTGAGAGAGCTAGTCAGCCATTGGCTAATTATATTTAATGTTAGCATCTGAATGGTTATTTGATAAGCGGCTGTGGGAACTAGTGGGCAGGATGAGAAAACACCCAGCCACACTTAGGTGTAGGAGTGAATCCGTAGGGCAGAGTCCAGCTGCATAGGCAAAGGGGCAGGACCGAGTATGGATGGATGGATGGATGGATGGATGGATGGATGGATGGATGGATGGATGGATGGATGGATGGATGGATGGATGGATGGATGGATGGATGGATGGATGGATGGATGGATGGATGGATGGATGGATGGATGGATGGATGGATGGATGGATGGATGGATGGATGGATGGATGGATGGATGGATGGATGGATGGATGGATGGATGGATGGATGGATGGATGGATGGATGGGCAGATCCAGATGAACAAACAGGACACACAGATACTAACTGAGTAAATACACATTGAGATGGTTAAGTGAGAGACTGGTGGGCCATCACAATTGCGGCAGCCACTTTGTGGGGGACAAGCAAGGGAGTTACACCTTTTCTTCCAACTGGTGTGTCTGATAGGTTCTTGGATCTGGTTTCCCTTGTTTTACTATGCCCATCTTCCTCTACAGTCTCAATTCACCCGATAATTTAAAACATGTGGTAGATTATTTTGTTTCAGGTATATAGTGTTTTGTCTGTGTGTCTGTGTGTGCCGTGTGCTTGCGTAGTGTCTGCTGAGGTCGGAAGAGGGTGTCAGATGCCCTGGAACTAGAGTTGTTGATGGTTGTGAGCCTCCATGTGGGTGCTGGGAACTGAACCCAGGTCATCTGTAAGAGCAACAAGTCCTTTTAACTGCTAAGCCTTTCTAGCCCCTCACCCAATAAATTTATAACAGTGGCACCGCACCTACTCCCAGGGATAAATCGTGTATCAGTTCATGCTGTATGAATGGTGCCAGAAAGACGTGCTGTTCATATGTTCACCCAGGTGCAGTCATCCTTCATCCTTCATCCTTCAAAGCTACTTGTAGCCACGTGTAGTGTTACATATGTTTAAACTCAGCACTTGGAAGGTAGAAGCAGGCAGATCCCTGTGTGTTCCAGACCAGCCTAGTCTACAATAGCAAGTTCCAGACCTGCCAGGGCTATATAGTAAGATCCTATCTCAAAAAAAAAAAAAAAAAAAACAAAACAAAAACCCAAAACACCCACAAACAAAACAAAAAATGCTGCTTGTTAAATGGAGTCTCTCCAGGCAAATTCCTGTCTAAAAGAACTACTGTTTAGTCGGGTGTTGGTGGCGCACACCTTTAATCCCAGCACTTGGGAGGCAGAGGCAGGCGGATCTCTTGTGAGTTCGAGACCAGTTTGGTCTACAAGAGCTAGTTCCAAAGCCACAGCAAAACCCTGTCTCAAAACAAAACAAAACAAAACAAAAAAGAACGACTGTTTTATACAATATGGAGTAACTTTGAACATGGCACAGCCTGATCTCAACACTATTCTAGAATGGATAAACCCAAAGGGCACTGAAATAAATCTGTTATCCCTAACCTACACCGGTTACTCCTGATTAACCTAGAATCACTTTCCCCGCACACTACAGTGCCATATTCAGGGAGGTGGGTTTGAGACTTGCATGCTCATCTCCACACACAGGTGCCTTAGGAATAAAACCTCTTCTGCAAAACTGTTGTTTCAGAACTCAGTATCCTGTGCAGCAAGCCTGGTTAGTAACAGTGCCAAGTGACCAGAGTGACCACTTGTTCATGACACCCTGTCATTGTGTGATGGCTCATCCTCATTGCCAACACAACTAGGTCTGGAATCACCTGGGAGACACATATCTGGGCGTGTCTGTGCTGGTGTTTCCAAAGAGGTTTAAGTGAGGAGGACAGTCCCACCTAAATGTGTGTGTCACTGTTCTTTAGGCTGAGGGCCCAGACTGACTAGAAAAGGGAAAGGGAAGAAGTGAGCTGAGCAGCAGGATTCAGCCCTCTTCTTCTTTCTGGCTGAGAGCACACTGTGGCTGGCAACCTCCCATTCCAACCACTAGGCCCCACCTCCACCCCGCTTCCCTGCACCCAGCACGGCAGTTTGCATTTCCCTGAACTGTGAGCTAGACTAAACCCCTCCTCTACTAAGTCGATTTCTGCCAGGTATCTGGTCACAGTGATGAGAAAAATAACGAATATGCTTTGCTGGACTCGGAGAATGGAGTGGCTGCCTGCTTGGCCACAGGAGCAAACTTAACTCAAGCTGGTCTGAAGCTCTCCATGCTCCTGCTTCAGCCTTCCAAGTGCTGAGATCACAAGAATGTCCCACTCTTCCCCCACTTGCTTTTACTGCCATTGTCAAAGTCAGGTCGTATGTCCTATGAAATTTCCCACATTGGAGATTCATGTCATTGCCTCTTCATACTATTCTTTCTTTTTATTTTTTAATTTTGTTTTTTTCGAGACAGGGTTTCTCTGTGTAGCTTTGGAGCCTATCCTGGAGCTCGCTCTGGAGACCAGGCTGGCCTCAAACTCACAGAGATCCGCCTGCTTCTGCCTCCCTGGTGCTGGGATCAAAGGAACGCGCCACCACCACGGGCTTGTCAATTCTTTTATCTATCTTATTTCCTATAAACCAATAGTTATATTTAGGGGCATGACTGGATTCAAGATTACTATAGCTATTATTCTATTTTTAAAAAGTATTTATTTATTTACTATGTATACAGCGTTCTGCCTGCACACCAGAAGAGGGCACCAGATCTCATTACAGATGGTTGTGAGCCACCATGTGGTTGCTGAGAATTGAACTCAGGACTTCTGGAAGAACAGTCAGTGCTCTTAACCTCTGAGCCATCTCTCTAGCCCTATTATTTTCTTAACAATAATACTCCCAAGGTGTTGCTGAATATTCATAGCATGAACATAGTGTTTGGATGTCTGGTTTTTGGTGACATTGAGATGGACTGACATGAACCAGGCACCAGTAATGGGTGAGCTGGAAGACCAGGTGAGTGAGGCCAGCCTAGGATGCAATAGCAAAATGGAGAAGAAGGAGGGAGAGGGAGGAAGGAAGGGAGGGAGAGAGGAAGGGAGGGAGGGAGGGAGAGATGGTGGTTTGAAAGGGAATGGTATTCATAGGGTCATATGTTGGAACTGTTTGGGAAAGATTAGGAGGTGGCCTTGTTGGAGGTGTGTGACTGGTGATAGGCTTGAGGTTTCAAAAAAGCTTGTGCCATTCCTAGTGTTCTATCTGCCTCCTACTTAAGGAGCAAGCTGTGAGCTCTCAGCTGGTCCTGCTGCCATGCCTTTGCTCTGCCATCATGGACTGCAACCCTCTGAAACCATAGCCCAATTAAACACGTTCTTTTGTAGGTTCCCTGGTCGTGGCGTCTTATTACAGCGGTAGAAAAGTCACGTGTTTAGAAGTTGGTATTTGTTGTTTCACAGAAATGGAATGTACTTCCTTCAGGTATAGCTGGGTCCAGGATGGGTCTGGACCCAGGGTGCGTCTGGAATATAGTCCCCAGGAGCTGGTCTTGTTCTCTTTTGTCTTTCTACTGTCCCGTGGATCTGTTCTATCCTCAGGGAGGCTTGTTTCACATGAAGGTGAGATGACACCAGAGCACATTTAGTATGCATGGCATGCATTTGTCTTCCTACTCCATTAAATTAGCAAGTTATGTATTTTTTAGACAAGTTGGCATCACTTGGTGAGGAGCCACAAGGAAATAGTAGTGAGGTGTCTCCAGGTCATTGGGCCCTGTCATGTTCCACAACCTCTTTAGAGGTAGGCAGATTAGAGAGGGCCTTAAGAACCTCCTGCAGCTGGGCTTTGGTGGTGCACGCCTTTAATCCCAGCACTCGGGAGGCAGAGGCAGGCAGATTTATGTGAGTTGGAGGCCAGCCTGGTCTCCAGATGGTTGTGAGCCACCATGTGAATGCTGGGAACTGAACCCAAGTCCTCTGCAAGAACAGCAAGAGCTCTTAACCACTCAGCCATCATCTCTCCAGCCCCAACACCTAGTTAATGTGGTACTGGAGATCATTTTTTTATGCATGCTATGCAAGCATTCTGCCAACTGAGCTACATTCTCAGCCCCGACTGTTAGCACTTTAGCTGGAGACTGTATAGTCTCTGCCCACAGTCACAGACCCTCAAGCACAATACAGCCCTGTACCGAGGAACTGAGCACTCCATTTGAGTCCTGTTAACTGTGAGATGGGCAGGACACTTGGCTTGTTTCTCACCTACAGAAACTGAGGTTGGAGAGGTTGGGCCTCTTGCCCAATATCACACAATTAATCAGCAGAACTGGAGGCAGGCCCTTCTTACTTCTTTGAACTTCTTCCTTGAAGAATGGTTTCTTCTGACAGGGTCTTGCTATGTAGCCAGGGCTGGCATCCTGCCTCAGCCCCCTGCATGCTCAGATTACAGGCGACTATCTATGAGCACACCTGCTTCTTTGAACTTTGCTGAGACTGTGCCTCAGGCCCCTGCCTCTCCAAAGCTATGCCTGGTGTTTCCTCATCCTCTCAGGCCAGCCCAAAGCTTTGGCAAGTGACAATTATGAAAATAACCACACTTTTGGTTTGTTGAAACAGGGTCTCATATGTAGCCCTGGCTTGGAATTTATGTGTGGACCAGGCTGGCCTTGAAGTCACTGTGATCCTTCTGCCTCTGTCGGCCACCACATTTGCCTGTAAGTCTCAACTTCACTTAGTACCTGCCACTCTGTAGATGTGTGTCCAGCTCTCCATATGAGGCGGGTAAGACCATTATACAGGGAAAATTGCGGCTGAGATGAAATTAAAGTGACCTGCCAAAAGTCACTCAGAGGAGTGACAGCCAAGAGCCTCAGTGACTTTAGCAAAGGCCTTTCTTGCCCAGCCCTTGCTTCTGCGACAACATAGCACCCCTGAGGGACAGGTGTGTGTGCTATCCGACTTCTGTCTGTACTCAGTGGCCTTGAAACTGTGGCAGACCCCAGGCTGAGAGCTCTATAGAGAGGAGAGACTGTCTCATTTGTCCTCTCAGCCCAGAGCACAAAACAGGCTCTCCGTACTGCCCAATCATTTTGCTGCTTCCGGGTCTCAACCCTGTGAAGCAGAGGGCAAGGGTGTCCCCGTTGAAGCCCTGTGTCTCAAGAGATGAGAAATTGACTCCAAGGCCATGAAGGAGTCCGTTTCGGGGCAGCGACGAGAGCGGTCCGGCTTAGACAAGGCTCTCAAGCTGGTCGCAGCCTTTCGGGAGCTTCCTCCGGTACCAGGAAAAGGACCTCGAGGAGGCTGCGGGCGGCCGGGGGAGGGATGAAGGAACTGGATATTTTTGCGTTTTGACATTAAAAGAAGAGCTGATTCGCGTCAGCATCTGTTCGGGGGTTGGAGCTGACAGCGTGCAGAGCGGTCTCAGCATCGCCTCAGGGAGAGAAGGGCCGGGCCTCCAGAAGCTCCGCCCAAAGGGGGCGCTGCCACCGGGAGGAGGCCGGCGCACGGCCGCTGCTCATTCATTGTCTTGACAGAGCATCTTCGGCGGCCAGCCTGCGGCTCCTCCATCCTCCTCTCCTTCCTCCTCCACTTGGGGGGGTCACGCTCAGCTCCCCGCAGCAGGTGAGATTGGGTGCTGGGGGAGGGCTGGTCACAAGGGCCGGGCACCGCTGCCATGGGCCACCTGTGGGGCCAGCGCCAGCGCCAGCGTGGGAGCAGGGCTGTGGGGGCGGGCGAGCTGTCAGGGCCACCGGGCTGCGGTTCAGGGAACCTGTTCATGAGCCTCGCCGGGAGGGCCCGGGACCAAGGAGTGTGAAGCGGCAAGCAGGTCCCAGAGTGCTCCAAGGTGAGGGCAAAGGACCATCGTGACCAAGATGGAGGTGGGCGCGCTGGGAGCGGCCACAGCTGGTCTCGGGACCTGTGTCCCTGGGAGGGAGCTTCTGGGCGATGAGGGTGGGGGCCAGGGTGGGGTGAGCCAAGTAGCTGCCCCAAGCTTTGAGACAGGAAGGGGTTGAGTGCAAAACAAGAAAAGAGCAAGTTCCCCTTTCCGTGGTTTCCGGGCTTGGTACCTGGGTGGGGGAGGAGGCCGGGTGGGGCACATCTTCCTGCCCCCACCTCTAGGTTGGGGTTTCTCCCAAATCTAGACTGCTTACTGGGGGGCTTATGTCCCCTTGTCTTGGAGACCTTCACTCATGCATTTCACCTGCTTTCTGTGTAGACCTGGGAGCCTCCTTAGGGTTAGCCGAGTGGGTGAGGGTTGAAGTCCCAGCAAGAAGGGTCCCCCTCCCCAAGGCAGAGCAGATGGGCGAGGCTGGGGAGGTGGGCAGAGAGGCCCTGGGCAGGGTGCTTTCCATAGGGCAGTCAAGACTCCTTCACTAGGGAGGTGGAGGGATTGGGCACAGGGATGGGGATCTAGAACACAAGCTGCCCCTGGGCTTCACTGGCTGGCTGCCCAGCCACAGTGGGTAACCATCTTAGCGGACCTCAGGGAAGTCATGTTGGGCATCCCCATCCTTGAAGGAAGCAGAGATGGTACAGAACACCTGCTTTTTCTGAGCGGAGGTTAAGAGGCAGAGGTGTGGGGAGATGCTGGGACCCAAGCCATTGCTGCTTCTTGTGGCCAGAAACCTGGGGAAGCCATCCTGCTACTTCATTCCCTGTTAGGCAAGCTGGCACACATCTTCCTGTGTGCCATCCCTGAGGGAAGGCTAGGGAGGAGCATCCCTGCCCTGCCTGTAGGAAGTGCTGTATGGCTGTGTGGGATGTAGGGTCTGGAAGAGGTCAGTAGGAGGGAACTCGCCTCCAGGGTGTCAGGACCATTGGAAAGGAGGCACTGTTTCAGCCAAGAGCCAGGCCAGAAACCTGGGGAAGCCATCCTGCTACTTCATTCCCTGTTAGGCAAGCTGGCACACATCTTCCTGTGTGCCATCCCTGAGGGAAGGCTAGGGAGGAGCATCCCTGCCCTGCCTGTAGGAAGTGCTGTATGGCTGTGTGGGATGTAGGGTCTGGAAGAGGTCAGTAGGAGGGAACTCACCTCCAGGGTGTCAGGACCACTGGAAAGGAGGCACTGTTTCAGCCAAGAGCCAGCCCCCTAGGTGCTTACACTATATCAGGCTCTGTTGTAGGGGCTGATGGTGCAGGATTGAGGGTGTGGCTTCAAGAGGGTGGGAGGAA